TGGTGTTACCTGTTGACAGATGCCTCTCCTCTCCACTGCAGTTAAGAAAATAGCCCTGTTAGGGTAGACTGTGCCTCATTTCAATAATCCCCAAGTGCCTGTTATTCATTCACAACTGGACAATTTAGTAAAATGCAACTAGTAAGAAGAATTCACATTTTCTTCTGGCGGTGCATTAGGTTGTTGGCATGTTACTGGTTTAGGTGTCCTTACAATATTGAACTTTAAAATGCCCACCACCTACTTTTCAATCCTTGTATGTCTTAGCTGGATGGTTACAGCATGATTTACAAGTAAATCTACTGACAAATCCATGAATCTTAAATTACTATTCCATACAATATACAATAGAAAAAGTTGATTCCTTTACCATTCCCCAAATGTAAACTTCAGTTGTCTCAAAAGTTATTCAGTTGAGTAAACTATCAAGTACAATTATTTAGTTAAGTTACACTAATACCATTACATCACAGCGCACAAATGATACCATCTGGTCAGGTTACATTTGTATATTGCCACATTCACACAGATTAATTCCCTAGTGGATGCTTCAGACTAATCACCACCATTTGTGAACATAACAAAATTTAAGCATTAGTTATTTTGTCTTACACCTGTACTTTAAGTAAGGTTCTAAGTTTAAATGCCATTACTTCCTTATCTGAAGGATTAAAGGAATCGAGAACTCAATGGCTTGGTGGTTTGGGAAGAACACTTGGGGATGGTGGCTCATTAAATTTGGCTCCACCATTATTCTGATTGGCTTGAGACTTAAAAAGCAGGGTACACCTGTGCACATGGTCTAATAGCTGAAACAATTTAACAGTTACAACCTATTTCAGTAGGAGAGAATAAAAACAGCCTATTTATTTCCTCTCTTGTCCACAATAATAGTGTTATATCTTTGTTACAAGTAGGACATTAGTTAAATCTGTGAAGGCAGCCCTGGATAATTTAGCAATGTGTATAACATAACATTTATTCTTTTTTTTTTGGCAGTTTGAACTCAGGGCCTCGTGGTTGCTAGGCAGGTGCTTTACCACTTGAGCCACTGCACCAGACTTGTTGCAAAGTAAGCTTGTTACTTTGGTGATGCTTCATAATTCAAAAACATTATCACAGATGGTAGTTGTCTTTATGTGGGACGTGATACGAGGTCAGCGGGGGATGGGCTACAAGATTTGCCCTGTTGTGTCCCAGTTGTCGGCTCCCAGAGCCTTAAAACCACCCTGCATGAGAGGAACCACCAACCCCAGCCACGTTCTGCCTGCCTGAGATGTATCAGGGAAGGGTAGTGGCTTTAGAATATGCTAGATACTTCCTCTCCTCAAAGGTGGAGTTGAATTTCCCTTCTGTATGTGTGTGTCTCTCCCTGTCCCTCTGAGCAATATCAGGGTTTGAACTCCAGGCTTTGCACTTGCTGGAGTTACTGCACTACTTAAGCCACACCCCCCAGTCCAAATTCCTCTTCTTTTGAGTGTGGGCTGGACACAGGGACACACTGATGAGCAGACTGGTGAAGTGATGATGACTGTTGGGCCAAACATGGGTGTTCTTGCTTTTGGTTCTCCTCACCCCGCCTCCCCTGAGTGGGAGCCTGCTGCCATGTTTGGGGACACCTAGCAGCCCTGTGCGAGGCTCAGGTGAGGCTCACCTCCTGTGTGTGGGGAGGGGGGAGTGCACTTTTTATTTCTCTGTATTTTGGAACAGAGACAACCCTAGTTGGAATCTAACGGGAGTGTTCTTTTAATAACTAACCTATGTTTATATTTAATTAAGTTTCGTGACTGTTCAGTAAATTACCAAGTCTGTTCTCTTCAAATATCATGACAGCATCACTGCTGTTTTGTCTGCTGAAAAGTATGTGGGTAAGAGGGGGTCCCTCATCCGTCCTTGTTCTCACACAGGGCCTAACTCAGTTTGGCTTGAGTGCCTGTGCCGTGTCCTTTTGTGAGAAAGTGGGGCAGGAGATGCACTTGGAGCCGTGAGTCAAGTATCTAGGATCATCACCACCAGCCTGGTGGGTTAGGAAGTGGAAGGAAGGAGGTGCCCATTCTTGTTGTCCGGCCCAGATGCATGTCAGAAAGGGAGGACAAATGTCAGGGCCAGAGCTCAGGCAGCCCGGGCCTTTCCAAGATGGTGTGGAGACGTGTCCAGTGCTCTGGTTCATGTCTAAAGTCCAGTCGCAGCTGCCTCCCCTCAGTGGTTCTCAGTTTTCTGGCAGCAGATCCTAGACATCTGGCAGAGTCCAGCTTTCCCTAAGCCACTGGGCCCTCCCTGGTCTGTCTGTGGGCCAGCCATGTTGTACTTCTGTCTTAAGTTCCCTTTGAGGAAGGGCAGAAGACTGAGCAGAGCCAGGCTTGTGTCCTGGGAAATCAAAGCAGGCTCACAGGATTGCAGGCCCTGAATTTGCCACAGCTCTGATTGGGCAGGCCGTGTGGTTCCTGCTCTGATCTCATCAGTTTATACTCACTATGTAGAGGACCTGTCTTCCTTCTCTCTGTCACCGTGTCACTTTCCTCTGAGAGGAGGGAGCATTGTGGTTGGAACCCACCTGGATCCGGGTGGGCCGGGTGAGAACCACTCCATGTATGTGCACTTGGTGCATTCAGTGCTGGCAGAGCTGGTTCCCAGGATGGCGTTAGTGGTCACTTCACCTTAGCTTTGGCTGTTTCGTTGGGGGTGGAGGAACTACCTCATATAGAGGCAGCACATATGGCAGAAGGCTGGACTCCAGCTTCCTCTTGTGCCATTCGCCACTCAGGCTTTCTGTGTCTCAGCTTTGTCCTCTTTGCTGTGGGGATTGGGCAGTGCTGCTGGAGGATGAGGTGTGTGCAGTCTCTGTAGAACATCCATGTGGGTGTTGGGCAGTGGTCTCCCCCTCCAGCAAGTAGCTAACTGACCAATTTGGGGTTTTGACTAGAAGTCTAGAATAAAACAGCCCTGTGTGAATGACACAGGGCTAAAAAATGTATTCTTAGCTTTTGTGACATGTTGAGAATGAGTCCCTTGTGACCTGGCCTAACTGGAGCCCTACCTGGTTGTTCCCATCCTGACTTAAATAGGGGAAGCTTTGGTGTCACTATCTCACCAGTTGTATGGCCTGGATATCGCTAACCTGTCTGATCTTGTGAGTCCTTATTGCAAGACAAGAACTTAAAACTCCAGGGTTACTGCTGGGTGAGCAGTGCCTGGGCACAGGGGTGCTTGCCTAGCACTGTCCCCCTGCCTATCCAGCACCTCAAATTACGTTTATGGTGGGTGTGGCCAGTGTGGGGTGGGGGCAAGGTTCCAAGTGTAGGAAGAAGAAAATGTTTGTTTTTGAGAAAAGGATGATGGTTGACCTGGTAATGTTGGTTTGGAGAATGGTACAGATAATGACGATTCTGTAGCCACCAGCCCCAGGGGCAGCATTGGCTTTGATTTTATTTATGTGCAAGGTCAGATGGTTTGATCCAGTAAGCAGTGTATATGAGAAGCCAGATGCCTAGGAGAGAAAATGATTAGCTGCAAAACGCTACAAAATACAAATCAGTGCTTAGTTGAAAGACTTCACAGGGCAACTCTGGCAGCTTCCTGGCCTGCTCAGCGAGTGTCCTTCCCGGTCCCTTGTCACTGGGAAGCATTGGTCAGTAGCTTGTCTGCTGTGTTTTGCCACAGCTGCTGCAAAATCATTGCCAATAGTGGGCTGAAAGTTTATAACCAAATTATCTCAAAAATAAATTATAAGTATTTTCAGAATCCTTTTACACTTGGCTCATACATGCTCTACCACTTGAGCCAGTCCTTTTATTTAGTTTTTCAGATAGGGCCTCTTACTTTTGCCCAGGCTGACCTTGAGCTGTATTCCTCCTACTTACTGACTGAGTAGCTGGGATTACTGGTGTGCGCCATCCTACCTTGCCAAGAAAAAATTTAAATTGAGGTGCATTTAAATCCATTTGTTGGGATAGGGCAGTACTTGGGCACTAGAGGGCCTGAGAGAGGCCTTGTGCTGGACAGGCAGGGCCAGGACTGTTAAGGTGGTATCCCTACCCCTGCACACTGCTGCTGCCTTCCACATAGGGCCCATGTGATAAGCCCCATCGCAGAAGCCAGGAGAAGAAAGGCTGCCAAGAGAGGGTAGGGCTGAGGACAACGCCAATGAAGACACCTCCTGAGCAGCAATGCAGGCTATCTGCAGATGTCACTGTACATTTTAAAGAGCAGCACTGCACAGTGCCAGGTGCTGTCCGCATGGAGAGCCTGCAGGGAGGGGTTCCTGCCCAGCAGCATCTTAACAGCCGCTGCTTAGTACGAGGCCAGTCCACAGCTCTGGGCCCCTGGGAGGTTCTGATTTGGATTATGTATAGAAATCTTTCTTGTCTGAATCACACAAATCAGATTCAAGTATGTATTTAGCTCTGTGGTTGTGGAGCTCTTATTTAGCTGGATTTAGTGTTGAGAAATGAGAGCAGATCGTTTGCCCAGATCAGTGGGATAAATTCCACCAGAGTTTACATCTTGCAGTTTCTCCTCATTCTTGCAGTCCACTAGTGAGCCCTAGAAAGGCACACAGCCACCTGCCCCCTGTGTGTCAAGTCAGTGGGATTAAAGGAGTCCTGAGGGAAGCTCACATAGCCCTCAGGGAGGTGTCCAGAATCACCTGAGATGTCTGAGATCCCTTGTTTCCATGACTTTGACAGCCATGAAATCTTTCCTTCAGTCCACTTTCCCTGCCATGCTTGCCCTTGGTACTCAGGGATCTGTCTGGAGGTGCTCTGTGGAGGTGCTGCACAGGGTGAAGGGGGGGTGTGCAAGCACTTTCCCGCAGAGGCCACCCTACACTTTTCTCCCTGGGTCCTGGCTGCCTCCTGGCTCTGAGGGGCCCTTCAGATGGGAGTTTTCTCTGTTCCCTGTTGTATCCCCAGGGCCAACTGTGTCCTATGACATGGTGTGTGGAGCTCATGGATGGAGGCTTTTAGAGACAGCCAACTCACTTGGTGTCTTTGTTCCCCCAGGAGGACTGGAATGAAATTGATCCCATTAAAAAGAAAGACCTGCACCACAGCAATGGAGACGAGAAAGCACAGAGCGTGGAGACCCTCCCTCCAGGTATGGCGCCCAGGGCCAGGAAGCCATCTTGCTCAGTCCACATAGCTGTGAAATGACTGAATGTGGCACTCAGAGTGAGTGGCAATGTCCGACGGTCGGTTTCATGAGCCATCTGGATACTGCCCAAGAGCACTCACTGCTTGGCTTTTCCATCAGGTCCTTGGTGGGTAGTCACTGAAACTTACCGAAGCAGAAAGTACAACAAAATAGAAACACAGTATGGCGTCTGTTAGTACACGGACATTTGTAAGATAGACTATTTTTTAGAGCAGTTTTGGGTTCACAGAAAAATTGCGGGAAGATGCAGAGTTCTCATATGCCCCTTGCCCCTGAATGTGCTTGGCCTCCTCCTAGTATATACCCACACCAGAAGGGCAAATTTGTGACAACCACAACCTGTGCTGATTCATGCCACCAGCCATCGCCCACAGTTCACTGTTGGTGTCATGAGTTTTGACAAATGCACAAAGTGGACCCCCATCTTATCATGGAGCAGCATCACACACCACCTGGTCACACTCCTCCCCCACCAGCAACCACAGATCTGCAGTCTGCACAGTCTGCAGCCACTTCAGATATGCATTTGAGGTTTCTTCATGATTTAGGGACTCATTTCTTTTTAGCGCTGTATGACAGTCCATTGTTTGGAGGTTCCACAGCTTATTTTGCCATTCACATACTGAAGGACATCTTGGTTGCTTCCAAGTTTTGGCCATTACGAATACAGCTGCTGTTGGTATCCATCTGCAGGTTTTTGTGTAGGCACAAGTTTTCAGCTCATTTCAGTAAATACCAAGGAGCACAACTGCTTGAACATATGGTAGGAGTATGTTAAGGTTTGTAAGAAATTGCCAAAATGAGCTGGGCGTGTGGCACATGCCTGAAATCCCAGCGCCTGGGAGATGGAGGCCAGCTTGGTCTATATAGTGAGTCTCATTGCCCTGCAAAAACCCAAACCAGGTCACCCAGATTTTCTTGTATGTTACCTTTTAGGAGTTTTATCATTTTGTGTTTTACATTTAGGTCGATGGTCTGTTTGTTCTGTGAAAGATAAAAGGTTTGTCTTGCTTTGTCTGTGGATGTCTAGTTGTTCCAACACCACTTATTGAAAGTCTGTCTTTTCTCTATTGTACTCTCTTTGATCCTTTGTCAGAAGTCAGTCTACTATTTATATCTACTTCCGAGCTTTCTGTTCAGTTTAGTTGATGTATTTGTCTGTTTTGCCAATACCACATTGTCTTGGTTACTGCAACTTTCTTTTATGTCTTAAATTTGGTTAGTGTTAGTCTTGGGGCTTTTTTCTTCTCCGAGCTAACATTGGACTTACTGGATCTTCTGCTGCTGCAGATGAACTTTTGAATCAGATTGTTGCTATCCACAGAATTACATGCTGGGGTTGTCAGTGGGAATGCACTGAATCTGAAGGTGAACCTGGGAAAACCGACAGCTTGGCAATACTGCCTTCCTGTCCACGAGCATGGCCTATCTCTCTGTTTATTTCATCCTTCAATTAGCCTCCTTCATGTGGATCAGACCTGTACTTCGTTAGAGTTGACCTAGGAAAAGGTGGACATCTTTTGGGGTGTTCATGTAAGTGGCACCATGTTTTTAATTTCAGATTCCCCTTGTTCACTGATGGTGTGTATCAATATGACTTTGTGTGTTAATCTGGTAACTTTCAGTCTTGTAATTGCTTCCAAAGGTTTTCCTGTTGATTCTTTCAGATTTTCTACACAGACAACTATATCATCTGTGAACAATGGCAGTTTTATTTATTTTCAATCTGTGTAGTTTTTGTTTATATTTCTTGTCATATTATATTAATCAGGGCTTCTCATGCATTGTCAAGAAAGAGTAGTCAAAGGGGGTGTCCCTGCCTTGCTCCTGATTTCAGTGGGGCAGCCAGGTTCTCACTTAAGTATTTTAGGTGTGGATTCATTGTAGGTACTCACTAAGTTGAAGAGTTCCCATCAGGTAGGGGTGTTGGGTTTTGTCAGCTGCTTTTTCTGCATTTATTGAGATTATCATGAAATGTTATTCCTTATCCTGTTGATATGAAGGATTATATTCATTGATTTTCATTTGTCTACAAGTCTAGCTGCGATAAACTAGGATAAACCCCTCTTTCTTGTGGTGTCTAATTCTTTTTATATACTCTTGGATTTGATTGGCTAATATTTTGTTGAGGGATTTTGCATATGTTCATGAGATGTTATTCTGTAGTTTTGTCTTCTTGTAACGTCTTTGTGTGGTTTAGGCATTAGTGTAATGCTGGCCTCACAGAATGAGTTAGGAAGTGGTCCCTCTGCTTCTGTCTTCTGGAAGAGATTGTAGAGAACTGGCAATAATCCCGCTATTCAGTGTTTGGTAGAACATACACCAGTGAGCACATCTGGGGCTTCCTGTTTTGGAAAGTTGTTAGTTATTGATTCAGTTTCTTTAAGCAGATTATCCTTCAAAAAATTGGTGCATTTCATCTAGGTTATCACCTGTATAGGCACAGAATTATTCATACTATTCCTTTTAATGTCCGTAGGCTCTGTGATGATGTCGCCCCTTTCATTTCCACTCGTCTTGGCTGGTGGCTCATCAGTGTTGCTGATCTTTTCAGAGGTCCCGCTTTGGTCTCTGTTCTCTATCATGTCCTCCTCTCACTTTCGTTGGTCTCTATGCTTGTTACTATTTTCTTCTGCTGTCAGTATTGTCAACTTCTTTGCAAGCACTGCTTTCCTTACATCCCACAAATACTAATGAATTGATGTTTATTTCCATTTAATTGAAGTGCTTTTAATTTTTTTCCTGAGATTGCTTCTTTGATCTAGCAGTCAAAGAATTCAGAAGGTGGTGTTCCATCTGTCTTTCTGTTGCTGAGTTTTTACTTAATCCCTTTGTAATCTGGGTCTGCTATGGCCACAAAGTTCTGAATTACTGTTCTCATTCTGTTTCTTCTCCCAGCTCATCCCACTTAGAGGTACAATGTGGAAGTTGGATGCAGTTCATCAGTAATATGGCTGTCCCACCTCAGAGTGATGGGTGGGGGTTTGGAGCTGGGGCTTGGATAAGGACAATAGACCAGGAGCTGGGTGTTGAGTACTGAGAATAAGGACACTGACCCAAGAGCCAGCGGCCAGGACTTCGGGGCAAGGACACCAGCCTGGAGGCTAAGGGTCAGGGGTTGGGGACAAGGACACCATCAGGGGATGGGGACAAGGAAGCTGTCTGGGAGCCCTAGGCTCATCCACGCCACCAGTTCTTTGGCCTTAGAAAAGTCAGTGAGTGGGATTCATTTCCTCATCTGTATGGGAAGATTGGGTCTAGCTGTAAGATCTTTTACTTCTGTTGCCCTCTCTCCCATTCTGTTTGACTCTATTGTCTGATCCTGGATGAAGAGTGTCACCTTTATCTTCTTTGGGAGCCATAGGCAGACCTCCATGGCCCACACCTCATGCTGGTTTGCAGTCTGAGGTTGGCTTTGCTTCTGCTTTAGTGCCACTTTCCTCTGGGAGCCTCAGAAATGTGTTCCCAGTGCCTCCCTTCAGGGAATCTGGGCCCCTGGGCTGTGACCTTCACAAGTTCCTCACCATTCTGGGATTAGGGCTTCTTTTTAAATTGTGGTCTTCAAACATGCTTTCCATTTTGGACATCCACCTAATGGAGGTGAATCTTATCTTTGTTCCCCTTTGGTGTGGAATATGGTTTTTGGATGAAAAGAAGCCTCATCCCTCTGCATCCTGCCTTCTCTGCCTCTCTGAATCTGATGTCTATCCAGCTGACAGCTGGCCAATGCTGAGATGCAGGCAGGTGGGGCCAGTGGGCTGGGAGGCCAGGCAGTCTTCCAGGACAGTTGTGGATGTGCTTCCTGGAAGGGGATCTCATCCTTGGTCAGTGTGGCCTTTCAGAGCTTGTTTTCCTTTGCCTACATAAAACCTTAGTGTCATTCTGGTTTCCTCTTGTAAAAGGGATGAAGCTTAGGGGAGACAGGGTAAGGGAGAGCTGAAAAAGCAGAGTCCCTCTGAGAGGTCCTGGTGCCCCCCACACCCCAGCTGACTTCTCAGAACAGAAATGCCTGATACTCATGTGTGGCTGAACCAAGTAGGAATGGTGAGGTGGGCAGAGGGGCTTATGTCCACGTGGGAATTGCCACTGATCATAATGGAGGTCTTTGGTAGTGCTACCTCCCCCTGCTGGAAGAAGGATAGGATGAGCCCTGGGGTATGCATACTGGACACTGCTGCAGCACCTGGGGAAATGGTCCCTGACCGTTTCTTCTAGGGGGTTTAGTGCATTCTGGGATTGTGCATTTTAAAAACTGTGGTAATGCATGCATAAAATAAAAGTTGCCATGAGAATCATTGTTGAGCACACAGTGTGGTTTGCACATACCACACAGGTGCCAGTTTAGTGACAGCACACTCATGGTGCTGTGCAGCCTTCACACCACATCTCCGGACCTGCTCACTTCTCCCACTCCCCTTCGGCACCCACTCTCCACCTCCCATCTGTGACCTGATGGTCATAGACTCCTATATCACACAGCATCCGTCATGCAGCAGCCAGTCCTCACCAGCAACTCACTGAAGTGTGCCTTTCAGAGGGCCCCTGGAGATTTCCAGGAAGGCCCAGTGTCCTTCATGTGAATTTCTGTATGTCCATAATTATTTCCTTGAAATAAATTCCTGAAAGTGAAATTGCAGGATCAACAGCAATGTGTATCTTTAAGGATTTTTCAGTATTAGTTGTGATCTTGTCTTCTGCAGGGGGCCATTTCTTTGCCCCCTAGCCAGTATTAGAGAAAACCGTTTTTTGTTCTACCCCATTGCAGCAGGTAAAAAAGGACACCAAGGCTTAGGCCGTTGTGATTGTGGTGAGCTGTTAAAGCTGTCTTTGGCTTTGTTAATGGAAGCCAGGTCCACATCAACCAGGTGCAACCTGGTGGGGCAGTCTGCACCATGTCCCACCCCAAGGCATTCTGTTCTGGGCACAGGGTGCTCAGAGGTGCT